AAAAAAAAAATGTTTGGTGGTTTTCATGTTGTCCAAGAACAAACAGAACCATGCATGACTCCTGTTTCACATTTACACAACCTTGTGGAATTTGTGTACTTTTCACAGTGTGGACATATTTCTCACTGTTTCAACATTTGTTTTCCTCTGGGATTATGAGAGGGGAGAATACATCTATTTTGATTTTAAATGCATCTGATTTAAAAAACAAAAATAAGAATGCCCCAACAGACACAAAGTAAACCTCACCAGGCACCAATGAGATGAAGCAACTGAGCCTCCAGGTTTGTGTGCTTCGTTCACCCTCAAACACCCATACCTAAGGCTCACCACACCTGGTGCTACACTGGGTCTTTTTTACTTTAGGACTGTCCCTGTCCATGGACATAGGCCCAGATGGCTAATCTTCCCTGCCGGGGAGAGCATTGGAAAAGGGAGTGGAGAAGATGTGGGCCTAAAGGCAGGTCCCAAATATGCCAGCACATCTCTTCATGCTCTTTTATCAAGGGCCAGAAAGGTCCCAGAGCTCTCAGCGGAAAAGCATAATGGGAAATCAGAACCACACTGCAAACAGCAATGGTGGTGGTGTATCCCCAGACCTTCTTCTGAGGTAAACCGAGTCGGGAGACGTCCCTGTTGATAGATGCCTCTGAATGGTACCCCTTGCCTGGCCAGGCAAGTCTGCAGTCTTCCCTTGGGAAAAGATGTTTCTATTCCTTCTTTAAATTCCTTCAGCTCCCCCTCCAGCCCTTCTCCCAGCTTAAAAAGAAACCAATTTTGTGGCATCCTGGTGGTCCTGCCAAGTGCATGTTCTACATTTCAAGAAACAGTTTCACCTATCTGGCCAATGGCCAAACATCTGTGCCCTAGCCAAGAAGAGTGTTACAATGTCACCACTCAGTTCCAGGCACCTGCAAAAGGTTGGGGCTGGGTGGTTCCAGCACAGGCTCGTCTACAAATGGTATTGTTAGCCAGAGTTCCTGGAAAGCCTCAGGATAGCAGCCATGGAAAATAAAAGACAACATGGGCAATAGCCTTTGTTTTCCCTGCTTGTCTTCTCTGACAGGGACCTGCTCCTCCATGCCATAGGCAAGACCAGAGGCAGCTGCAAGTCACCCTGGGAGTCACACCTGCCTGCTTTACAACCTATGAGACTGGCTATGCTGTCAGGCCACAGACTCACAGTCCCTCCACGGCTTGGGACATCCAAGCATATAGGGCAATGTAAAGAAAGGATCTGGAAACCAACAAATATGCCTCAAATGTACCATTTACTCGGCTGAAAAACGTTCCTTAACAAACCAATACTTACCGTTAATGAAGTGAACGTCATACACATCCCCCCAAAGCCATTCAGAGCCAAGGCGATGAAGATGAGCACGGAGAGCGCTGTGGACAGACAGAAAGCCATAAGTAGGGGAACACAGGAGTATAGTGTTCCATACTGAGAAGGCTACAGATGAGCTAAAAATAAAGGACAGGGCATCAAAGGTTAGTGACGCTTGGAAAGCTCGCTTTCCCTCACCCTCGTCCTCCTGCCTACCTACTGGAGCTTGAGTTCTAGCAAAAGACATGCGCCCACTCTCTTTTTCTGTCAACCTAGCAGCAATCAAACGGCCCCAAAAAAGCTGCTCACACACAATAAAACCCTAAGTTCCTGAAAATTAGTGGATGAGCTTGGCTAAGAGGTTAGTAAAATTTAGGTCCTAGTTTGATGTTGTTCTAAAAGCCCTTAAACTTCTTGACTGGGGATGGGATCCAGGTGTTTCCTAAACTGTTTTTCAAGGGCTGGCCTTGGTTCCTGGAGGGTGTGGCTCAGCTGGGTGTGGTGTATCATGTCTGTAATCCCAGCCTTCAGTCTGAGCCAGGCAGGGGGGTCGGGGACAGATGCTCGGTGACAGAGTACTTGCCTGGCTTTTGTGAGCCCTGGGTTCAATTCTCAGTACTGAAACAAAAGAGGAGGAAGAGGAGATGGCTGAACCTACCATTTCTGCACCATGGAAGAACATGTCCTATAGCTGGCCTGGTCCATAAAACTTGTCTTTCAAGTGGCATCAATGAGGATATCACCAGGGACTGGGTTGGTGGCTTGGGGCTGAGACAGGAGCCTCGAATGCCCTGGGAACATCTCTCACACTTCTGCTTGGGGTGATTATTCTCTTGCCAGCCACCCATTTCAAAGAGCTAAATCCTAGGCAATAGACCAGCAGAGCTGCCCGGCTACCACTCAGGAGATAAGTGAGTAGAGGGCTAAGAGGTGTCTCTTCTGGCTTGAGCAGGGAGCATCAAGTCTAAGATAGCATCCAAGAGCAGGTGAGCTAGTGAGCACCTACGGATAATAGAGCTTCCCCTAGCTTCTGGCAGACAGAGAACAGGTATACTCACAGTCTGGGTTACTTGCTCCATATGCAATCAGCAAGCAGGAGACTGCAAAGCAGGCACTAAAACAAAACACAAAGTGTACTGTTGATACTACGCTATTAACCGCTGTTGCTATATAGTTTTGTGGGTGTATTTGCTATATTTATAATCATTAGTTAACAATTCTGGGGAGACCAGGGACATATGCCTCATGAGGAATGCAAGATGACCCAGGAGGATGATGGGCTCCTAGGATCTGTTTTCAGTCCTGAGAACTGAACCCTAGGTCTTCTATGCTACACAAGTGCTCTACCACTGAGCTGTGGCCTCAGCCTCATTTCATAATTGTTAAAATTTTATTCATTTTGCCAGGTGGTGGTGGTTGTAGTGCATCCCTTTAATTCCTGCTCTTGGAAGGCAGAGGCAGGTGGATCTGAGTTTGAGGCCAGCCTGGACTACAAAGAGAGTTCCAGGACAGCCAAAGACACAGTGAAACCCTGTCTCAAAACAAAACAAAAACAAACAACAACAACAACAAAAAAAACTTCATTCACTTTAATTAATTAATCAACTTTATTCTCACATTTTAATTTTTCGGTGCTAGGTATAACTCAGGGCCATGTACACATTGGACAAGCAATCTACCACCGAGCCTCATCCATAACCCTTGTATTTAAAGCACATAATATTAAGAATGGCACATGTGGGGCTGGAGAGATGGCTCAGAGGTTAAGAGCACCGACTGCTCTTC